CACAAATTTGACAATTCTGAGCCACAGAAGAATCTGGACTGTGAAGAAATGAACAGAAGCCAGTGGACAAAAGCTCAGACACCAAGGAAAGAGTAGGAAGTGAGGAGTTCAAAGGGGTTGGAAGGAGCCAAATCCTGTAAGGCTTGTAACTTATAGGAGCGCTAAACTAAACATGTTTTTCTCTGCTGTAACTTTAAGTGCTATAACTATTTTGAGTGTAAAATAACTATAAGCCCCCCCAAAGACTGAAAAATTAGTAAAGGAAATGGTACAGAAGAAAGAAAAGAAAGTTTGCAATAAGCCTTCATTATATCACAGTTTGTGTACAGACTGTTGTTTGAAAAAAATTATTATTTATATAAACTTTTTGTGAAAAAATTGGTATATTTTTCTGTCTGAAATTGTTTAGTTTTCTTGGGTTTTGGTAGAGCANTAAATGTCAGGGTCCCCGCATTCAAGCCAGATGTTGGGTTAGGCCCTGTAGGCACAAAAATTTTTGCAAATGCCAGCCTTTGGTGTAAGGGACAAGCCTCCTTACCCATCAGCAAGCACACATGAAAAGGTTACCTTTGAGGTCCTGGAAGTGAGTTCCAAGTGGGCAAGTGCATCAGCATCTCAGGATGCCTGCAGTCCAGGTCCAGTTTGCCCNATCAGTAAACATAATGGAATGGATTCCATAAACTACAATCTGTATCCAGCAGGACATGTTACCTGTATCTGAACACCAGTTACAGGTACTGATCAAATCAAGTTCTATGCCAGACAGACCACCTAAGGAGACTGTACATCAAGTGTGTGCCTCCAGTGTATTTTCTTCACAGCAGCTAAAATGCCCTTCGTAAATGTCAGGGTCCCNGGGAGTGAAGGTATCCCTTCAACATGATGATTTCCATTCCTTTGGATATATACCCAGTAGTAGGATTGCTGGATCATGTGGTAGCTCTATCTGTAGTCGTTTGAGAAACTTCCACACTGTTTCCATAATGGCTGTGCTAGTTTATAGTCCCACCAACAGTGTAGAAGAGTTCCTCTTTCCCCACATCCTTGCCAGCATTTGTTATTCTTGGTCTTGTTGATAATGTCCAGTCTAATTGGGGGTGAGATGATATCTCAGTGTGGTTTTGATTTGCATTTCTCTGATGACTAGTGATGCTGNTTCAGTCAGTCATCAAACTTTTATTGAGTATTTAATGAGTTCAAGGGATAGGCTAGCCCTAAAATCAAACTTTATTCATAATATCTCCTGGGGGAATATCCCTATGACAGCACTGTCCCAACAGATTTTTATAATCCTGAAATTCATTAAAATTTTGAAGTCATCTACCTCCTGTTTGCTCTTACCGTCCCATTTTTTGGATCTTAGTTATTAAGTTCTGCCTTTGTATCAGTTTATTTATTTATTTATTATTAGCATATTCATTCTTACAAATTGTGATACTTCTTTATGCCCTTTGCCCAACCTATCACTTCCCAAACCCCCTCTCTCCCTTCCCCCCATCTCTAGTATCCCTAAGTTTGTCCTGTCCTTCTGAAAGTTCAATATATTGTTGTGGTCTTTTTCTTCTTTCTTTTCTTTATTCCTTCCCTCTTCCCTCCTTCCCCCCCTCCCTTCTTAGAGGCCAGTTATGTGTCAGACTACGCAGTATTTCTGTTTCTTTGTCTGGCTTATTTCACTTAACATAATTTTCTCCAGACTCATCCATGTTGCTGCAAATGGCAGAATTTCATTCTTTTTTATGGCTGAGTAGTATTCCATTGTATATACACACACACACACACACACACACACACATTTTCCCTGTCCATTCGTCCATCAATGGACACTTAGGTTGGTTGCATATTTTGGCTATTGTAAATAGAGCTGCAGTAAACATGGGAGTGAAGGTATCCCTTCAACTTGATGATTTCCATTCCTTTGGATATATACCCAGTAGTAGGATTGCTGGATCATATGGTAGCTCTATCTGTAGTTGTCTGAGAAACTTCCACACTGTTTCCATAATGGCTGTGCTAGTTTCTAGTCCCACCAACAGTGTAGAAGAGTTCCTCTTTCCCCACATCCTTGCCAGCATTTGTTATTCTTGGTCTTGTTGATAATGTCCAGTCTAATTGGGGGTGAGATGATATCTCAGTGTGGTTTTGATTTGCATTTCTCTGATGACTAGTGATGCTGAGCATCTTTTCATGTACCTGTTGGCCATTTGTATGTCTTCCTTTGAAAAGTGTGTATTCATCTCCTTTTTCCATTTGTTAATGGGATTGCTTTTTTTTTTTTTTTTTTTTACTGTATAGTTGTTTGAGTTCTTTGTATATTCTGGATATTAATCCCTTGTTGGGTGTATAGTTTGCAAATATTTTCTCCCACTCTGTGGGTTGTCTTTCTGCTCTGTTGTTTCCATTGCTGTGCAGAAGCTTTTTAGTTTGATATAGTCCACTTTCATGATTTTTGTCATATTTGTGTGCCACCAGTACTATGAATTACCTGTTATTATTCCCTTGTCCTAAGTAATACTTTTACAAAATTGTGAGTTTGGTGTGATAATTATATGTGCCTAAATAGTATCGAGCTATTAAAATTTTTAAAGAACTAAAAGTTTACCTGTGTACCACATACTTTCCAGCAGTGATACTGCAACAGTTTTGTAAAATATCACTCTAAGATATTAACTGAAAGGAGTTACTCATTTTCCAAAATATTTGCATTTTAAAAGGAGACTCTAGAAGATAGTTTTTATCATCTAAGATAACATATCTTTAAAGAGCTCATTTCAGACTTCCTTGAGGGTTGGGGTTTTCATGGTTTAGTCATGGGGAAACTTATCTAAATAAGCTTGTTTAATCATGAAAGCAGCTCCTTATTCCACATATTGTTAATAAGCCTGGAAGGGTCATTTTGCATTCTTCAAACTTTATCACATATTTTTAATCATGCTGGTATTTTGCTTTCCAGTGCTCAGTTGTTACTATAACTACGTTAACATAGCAAAAGAAAGTTACTTCTTGTATCTTGAATCCAAAAGCAATAGCCAGCTAAGAAAACAAATCACAGACATTTTAGAAGATGGGGTTGGGGACTGTGATGGGTAATTATTAGTTATATTTTTTACATATTAACAGTGTACCTGCTTTTTCATCTGCTTCTTCAATCTGAAGGCTTTGTCTTCCTTCACGTCTGAAAAATGGTCTACTGTGATGATCTGTGAATATTGTCTTAAGTGCATTCACTCAAGTCTCTCGTTCTGAAAGTCTATTAGACATACTTTGGATTTTCTGAAATCTGTATCTTAACTATTTTTTTAATATTTAACATATCTTTCTGTGCTGTATTTTGGATTATTTCCTTAGGTCTACCTTCAACATCACTAATTATTTCTTTAGCAGTGTTTTCTGTTTAATTGACCTGGATACATATTTTTCATTTCCAACATTTCTTTTTTAAAAGTCTACTTGTTCATTCATGTGCCCTTCTCTTAGCCTATGGCTTCTATTTTTTCCTTTCTCTCTGTGAAGTCTCTCAGAACTTTCTATCATTTGTTCTCAAGGTGTGAATTTTGTCATTTTGTTAAAGGGAATTCCAGGTTCTGCTGGCTAAGTCTGGGTTCTTGGTGTCTCAAACAAAGAATTAATTGGGTAAGACATGCCAGAGGTGAAAAGCAAAGAACAGTTTTATTTAGCAAAGCAAGAGTACACTCCCGAGAGGATGGAGTAGATTTGAGAGAGAGAGTGGCTCGAGAGCCCTGATGGGTTACATTCCCGGGGGCTTTAAGTCCTCTTAGCTAGATTCTGTGTCATTTGGTCATTGATTGAGCCCTGAATGTAGTCTCTGTCCTATTTGTTAAAGTGATTGGCTCTCTAGCTGGTGGGAGCTCATTGGTCCAACCAAATGGCACCCAAGGTGGGAGAGGACTCCCTGTGTGGAATTGTCTTTGTCTCCTGTGGCCGCTTTTGTGCATGTGCATGCACACTTCCTCAGGGAAGCAGTTTTCCCACTTGGAAATAACCAGGTTTCTTCCTCCTGCTCTTGTCTCTAACTTCCTGCCTCAATTTGACTTTCATGCTACTCCTTTTCAAAACCCAGGGCTTTGTAGTTTTTAGCCCCAAGGCTTTGTAGTTTTTAGCTCCAAGCTCATCTTCAGAGACTGTTGTTTGGGTAATCTATTGTACCCAAGGTTGTGAGGAACCCTATCAAGTGGGTTTACATTTGCCTCTTGCTAAAATGTCCACTTTAGTTCCACTATTTCCACCCAGTCTTTAGGTTCATTTTAGTCTGGTACCTACCTCTACTAAATGTGTAATGCAAATTTGGATGCAATATTCACCTGTGGCACAGGCTTGGGGTTTCTTTCATAGGTCTTTTTCCATCCACAGCCCTGGCAGAAGTCAAGCTTCCTGGCCTCTTATCCCCAGGCCAGTGGGCTAGGTTTTCTTTTATTGCTTTTCATAGAAGTCTGGCTACTAGTTTTACACAGGGAGTTTAATTTCAGCTTCTCCCCATGTACAAACTCAAGGCTTCATCTTCTGTTCCTGTGCCAGCTTTATGTCATGGCACTAAAATAGCAGCATTGAGTCATAAACCACCTTACATAGTGCATTTCTCTGGGACTTCTTAAATGAGCTTGAACTCAGTTCTGTCTCAGCAATGAAGTCCTGCGTTATTCCACCAACAATATTTACCTAAATCAGATTATCCTCAAGGGCTATTCTCAGCTCCTTCCTACCCCTCTGACCTCTTTATTCCTGACATCTTTGGTTCCTCCTTCTTGGTTTTAAGGTTGACTTTGAGTCTTACTTCATTTTGTTCTATAGTTTGTCAATTTGTCAAAATTTTCCAGCATTTCTATGTGTTTGAAGTCTGTCATATTGACTAGAAATTTTCCCATCTTCTATTTTCACCTTACCCTATTGCAGTAGTCACTGTTAGCATGTGATCTCTTCTTTGGGATTTTTGTGGGGAAGTGGACAGGACCAGGCGTATTTCCTCATTTATTTTTCTTATCTAGGTTTTGGAGTGTCACAGATCAAAGCTGTGATGACTTTGGTCTCTGGGATTCAAATGGGCCCACCGCGGCTTCCACTGCAGAAAGCCTCCAAAGAGTTTACTGCTAAGGCTGAAAGTAAACTGAAGAGCCTGCATATCCTTTCTTCCACTGGTTAAAGGATGGAAACTTGGAAGTCTGTAGCTAGTGCCTCTCTGTCAAATCAGGGTATGTAAATTGAGACAATCCACCTTGAATAGTGCATTCTTTTCTCCAGGACCTTTCAGATGAACTAAACTCTCCTAGCAAATCTCACATTAATCAACAAGTATTTAAGTACCTCCTATGAGCCTAAAAAAGTTTTATTTTGTGAAGAGACAAGAACTCTAAAAGCAGTCACGAGCCCTGAGTCATTTATTTTGGAAAATTTTTGTAGAGAAAATTCTGTTTGTATGGATGAAATGGAATCAAGAGGAAAATTGTAATTGATTAATTCCGTATGCCTTTCAGAGCTCCCATTATCTTGGTTTCTGATTAAATCTTATTTTAAAATTTTCTAATTTTAAATCACTATAATGTAATTTCATTTTAATAAATATTCATTTGGAATCTAGGAAAACTGTGAGCGACTGCATTTAGGCAGTCACTTTAATACCAAATTTCAGCATCACTCACTATACACAACTACCAACACAACAACCTACTTGGCTGTTCAGTCTGACTCTAGAGGGGATGCTTTCATATTAATTGTGATATCACAGTTTTCCCAGAACATTGGGTCAGGTGAGGACTTGGCTTCAGTTCCTATAACTAAAGGGCGCTTAAGGGTGGTTTTCGAATAACAAAGGAAAGGCCTTCCCCAAAGGTGAATTCAGGTCTCCACTTCCTGCTATATAGAGAACTCAAAGCTCAGAGTTTCAAGAAACCAAAGGGCTCTTGCTTTGGGTACCACAAACTTCCTGTCCCCCACTGAGAAAGCAGTATCTCCCCCTGGCGTTCTGAATTATTAAAATCAAAGGCAACTTCCCTTCTGTGGTGAGCCCAGGGGCTGCTGTTATTTCCCTGTCACACTTGCAAGCAGTTACTTTCCATTAGTGATAGAAGATTTGGGGAGGACCCAAGGCCTCACAGCTTTCTCTATGTACTTTTACTCCTTCCTTTCTCTGTAATATATCACCAGCTGTTTAATCTCTCTTCTAACAAACCCTGGTGTATGCTCTCTTTTAAACAAAGTGTGTTGACAGGCAACCTTAGTGATTTAATTTTATTTTTGGTGACTGGCCAGTATGGCCAAAACCTGTAACCTTGGTGTTATAAGCCTGTGCTCTAACCAGCTGAGCTAACCAGCCACCCCTCCTTAGTCGTTTTAAACCTGACTCTCCAGTCTATTAATTACCTAAGATTTTATTTTCATTTTTTCTTTTATTGTTTTGCTCATTGGCAGAAGAAAAGTAGTTAAAATTCATATCAGTTTGACTCTTTATTTTTTATTGATGGATTTTGGACGTGGCTGGGGCCATTGTGCACACAATAAGAACCAGCACAAAATAGCCGCTGGCCTCGTCTTCCACTCCAGCACCAAGCCCCTCCCCTCTTCCCTTTAGGAGAAGCCTCCTGAATTAAACAGAAACCACTTCCCAGCTTCTGTATCGGGTGCGGTTCTCCACCCAATTACATCAACCTAATGGTCCCTCCCCCGTACATTTCGTGCCCAAAAGTTAATATAAACTCTTGCAAACCCATTGTTGCAGCTGTCCCCCATTTTCAGGGCAGCCCCGGGCTATCCTCCACTTTGAGGACAGCCTGGCAGATTTCTTTCTTTAATAAAGCTTGAATGGTACCTGGCATCTCGGCTCACTTTCATTTATCTCTTCAAATTAAAAATAAAACTTTTTCAAAGTTCAAATTTGAAATTATCAGTGGACTTCTATTCTTTAATTGGTCAGCTAGTTAAAAGTTGTTATATCTATATTTCCTCACCACTCTTTTTTCTTGTATGTTTTTTGTCTGTTAATTTTGTCTGTTAATTTCCTGAAAGAAGAAAAGTGAGGGTTTTTGTTACTACCTTTGGTTCTGAGGATGCGATACCGTTACTTAATGATACTAAAGCCAAATTAATTTTTTAATGAAGATAAATCTTAGGTATCCACTAAGCAAAGAACTCTATTTTTCTATTTTTGCTCTTGTGAGGGCAATACTTGGAGGATTTTTAAGATGGTTAATGAGATCTTGTGAGCATAAAGAGAAATATGATGATTAAAAAATTACCAGGGCTGAGTCCAGCTGCTTAGAAATGAATATTATCTAGCAATAGGCTACTATTATTGCCTTTAACAAGTAAAATTTTGGAATATTATGAAGTTACTGTTGTTGTTATCTGTATCTCTAATTGCCTTTAACAAGTAAAATTCAGCTGCTTAGAAATGAATATTATCTAGCAATAGGCTACTATTATTGCCTTTAACAAGTAAAATTTTGGAATATTATGAAGTTACTGTTGTTGTTATCTGTATCTCTAAATTGTTTTAATGTTAAAATTAAAGTAATGGTATGTGAAATATTTCATTTAACACAATACTAGGAGCTTATTTTTAGCTTTTTTTTTTTTATGATAGAAATCTAAGATCAATCCGCTAGAGATGGTTGGAGGGACAAAGTGATTTCAGGGACTGATTTTACTTAGAATGTCTCTTGGGTTTACTTAAAGACGTAGAAAAATGCCAGGATGGGCTGGCCAGTTAGCTCAGTTGCTTAGAGAGTAGTAGTATAACGCCAAGGTCAAGGTCAGATCCCCATACTGGCCAGCCTCCAGAAAAAAACAAAGAAGGAAAAATTCCATAATGGTGGGGTAGGCTGGGAGGGGAGTAATGCATATGCCTTCACAGAAAGGCTATTTGCCACAACTTGAGAGAAATGTCTTTTTTGTGATCACCTGAAGGGCCCAGAACATCTCTGCTCTCAGGAGGCTGATGTCTAAGAGACGGATAGACTGAAGAACTCTCTACAGTGTCTGCAACTCAAGTCCAAGGTGCCCACCTGGGCTCACCTAGGCTTTTCATACAGGGGAAACGGAGTAGACTTACAAGCCCATCAAATCAAGAAGAGTAAGCACCACATCTAACCCATTCAAACATTCCCCTATACCACATGCCTATTCAACCCCCAGTTTTCTTCAGTGAAACTAAGAAGGAAACTTAGAACCAAAATTATGCAAAGAGCAGAGGTAGAGGTGGAGCATCACCTAGCACTTTGAGTTTCTGGGGCTGAGAAATGGCTACTTGGGTGGACAAAATAACTGACCCTAATTGTGGTTCCTCTGTCAATTCCTTTGATGACTCTTAGGAAATCATTTGATACATAGGAAACTTTAGCATTTTAAGTTAGACAAGTAAAAGAAAAACCTTAAAGGATTTTCTTAAATCTTAATCACACAATCAGTAAACATAATGGAATGGATTCCATAAACTACAATCTGTATCCAGCAGGACATGTTAGCTGTATCTGAACATCAGTTACAGGTACTGATCAAATTAAGTTCTATGCCAGACAGACCACCTAAGGAGACTGTACATCAAGTGTTTGCCTCCAGTGTATTTTCTTCACAGCAGCTAAAATGCCCTTCATAAATGTCAGGGTCCCGCATTCAAGCCAGATGTTGGGTTAGGCCCTGTAGGCACAAAAATTTTTGCAAATGTCAGCCTTTGGTGTAAGGGACAAGCCTCCTTACCCATCAGCAAGCACACATGAAAAGGTTACCTTTGAGGTCCTGGAAGTGAGTTCCAAGTGGGCAAGTGCATCAGCATCTCAGGATGCCTGCAGTCCAGGTCCAGTTTGCCCCATTTAAGGTCATCCTGCCTCAGGTAGAAGGAAGTGATACAATTACCACATATTACATTTTGAGGAATCCTTGGGAGAGTGTGAACAAAGTGAACCATCCACCTTAGGGCTTGAGTGAATGAGCACATCTAAAGCATCTGTTACTGAGAGCGGTAAATAATCTTCACAGGCCTAGGTGGTCTTCAGGTTGCAATTACTATTTAGACTCCCCAGAACATTGTCCCAGTTAGTATTTCCTTTTCCTAAGGCAAGAGCCTCAATCAGCTTGGATTTCTCAATCTGAGCAGCCCTCC